CTTTTCATCCTCCTTTCAACAGAGTAAGTGCTGTAACAACCACCTTCCTTTAAACTATTTATAAGTCAAAATGGAGAAATTCAATCATTTCTTTCATCAGTTGCCACATTTCATTATGGCATTTTCCCAATATACTTGGGGAAAGAACTCCCTTAAGCTTATATATTTGAGTAGTGAAAAGGAGGATCTCTCTATGAGAAAACACAAAATGCATTAGCTATCGCAGATGCTCATAATGATTCTGGAAAAAGCTGTCCTGCCTCTTTGAAATAGGAATACAATAATTGCATTTTTCTCCATTTTGCTTATATTCATTCATTTACACATGTAACAGCAGCTTGATATTCAAGTGCAGGCGCAGAATTCAATACAATTTAATTGATAACAGTTTCAGAAGGAAACAAAGATGGCCATTCCAGGTTGGCAAGAGACATTCACATATCCAAAGTAATGTAGCATTCTGGTCAGTAATTATTAGCCCTTACACTGAGATTATAGACCACAGGCCTTTTCAAGTGTAGTGTGTTTTTGTGGAAACCTTCAAGAAGTTTGTGGAACTCGCTCTTCCATGTTTCCTAAAGAAAAATATGCCTGCACAGTATGGTACTATGTGAACCCACCATGGGGAAGTCGATACCAGGTGCACTGATTATGCTTCACAGAATAGCACAGAACAGAGAAGCTTTTCTCATCCAACCTGAAGTTACATACCATATTCCATTACAAATCTCTGCATGTCTTGTAAGATCTACCCACAGAACTACGCTTGCGGAGAAGATCAGATCTAAGCAAGAGTACAGGTGCTCCATTTAGCACACATTTGCACTTCATTTCCACGTGGTTCTTCTGGTTTCCATTTCTCTCATATTTCCTACCAGCATGGACTGACCATAAGCGGGTAAGAAGTGTTCACTCTGTGGTATGCCCAAGCCCTGTGGGTTAAAAAAGAAAGATACATTTTGTGAGCATACAGATGATTTAACAGTTGTCCTCATCAAAATTTTTGCCATATGCTTCAGTAGAAGAGCAGTGCCTTTCCTCATGGAATTGTACAGCTTTTATTTTCCTGCCTGAAGAAAATGAATATAGGAGAATGCATGGGAAATGTCAGTAAAACAGAAAATTTGAGAAAACTCAGAAAATACTCAAAAGATGCTGATTAGGAGACATTTGGGAAGTGTTGGTTTGTGATGAGGAGAGGTCAGTTTCCATCGACGCTGTAGATTGTACTATAAACTTAATAGTGAAGTGGTGGCACTAGCATCATCCTTCCCCTCTGCGCTGGAAGTTGCTGTTTGTTTGTTTTCGGTGATGGCCCCATTGTGGGCGGCGATCCTCAGTGCTTTCCACTGCAAAGTGCACGTTTCAAGGCAATATATGTGAACTCTAGCGAGCGCATCCTTCCCCTGCCTGCTGCCGAATGCCTGCGCTGCTCTCTCAAGGGGTAAACAATTTCTCACATACTGTCTACTTCTGTGAGGACTGATAAACCACTCCGTGACAATGTAAGTCACTTTTGCATCATTACATTGATGACAGCGGTTATGTTCACACCCTGTTCTCCCCAATGTTACTGGGAAATACTCCCATTTAATGAGACTTAGGATGGACCTGTATCAGCTAGCCTAGTCTATTGCATGATACTGACATTCACCTAGATCCTAGTCCCAACGACTTCTGAAGTCTGCAGCAGACGTGCAGCGTTCATGGTTTTCACAGCACCCAGGGTACTGCAAGGCACCATGTACGATTAGACCTGCAGTTCTCCAGGTACATTTCCATGAGTGACTCATGCTGACAGTAGCACATTGACTCTTTCCTCATAAGAGTTGAACACAACTATTTAAGCCTAAAGATTAACTTCCTCAGAGTTTGAAACTGTTAATTTGTCAAATTTGAAAACTGAGGTTAAGTTTGGCCATAGCTGTTAATTAACTTAAATGATAGCTATCAATTTTTTACTTTCCTGGGATTTTCCATTTCAAAGACATTGAAAGAAGCAGAAAAGTACATTGCTAATCACATCGAGAACATGGAAGGGTTTTGTTTGTTTTACCAAGTCATATGCTCTCTTGAAATTTCAGATTTGTTTGGAAGTCCAAATTATGGTATACTGTTAAGTATATATGTACAGATAATATATGAACTTCTAGAGGTCCCAAGCAATGAAAAAAATTATAGGGGTACTGCTATTTTCAATCATACAGACAAATCCATTTAGTACGAGAAGAGAAGTAGTTTTTTGCACTAGTTCAATGATATTTCTAGCATGCAGATTGTGTATGAGATTCTGCATGGCTATGACCTGTAACTCAACAGTAGTTAGGAAAAACAAAGTTACTATAAAAGAGGAACTATTTAAAAATCTAATACCTCACAAAGTACTGAGTTAAAAATATATCTTGCACATATGCATGTAGATTGTCATTTGTTCAAGTAAACTGATGCCTGACTGATTAATTGGTGGCAAACAAGCGCAGACATGCTTGAACAGTGCTACGTATCTCGCCAAAATGGGGTAAAAGAGGCTGGACAGAAAGTTATCCATGCATGTAGATTTATTACAGAGATATGAAGTGTCAAAACGTCTGCCTTTTTAGATTATGCTGATATACTCCATTTGTAACCTGAAAAGTTACAGTGCTTTTTAAGACAGTATTTAAAAATGTAATTGATTTGAAGAAAAGTTAGCTTTCTGCTAACATCTGGTCTAGGCTTGCTTGTCCACCTGGCTTATTTAAAAATCGTGCCGGCTTTGGCAAAAAATTTGCAGATGTGCAGCTATCGGTTGCTTATGTGCAGTGCTCTGTGCATATACAGCCGGATAAGCCGCATGGGCAGTCAGCTGGATGCACCTGGCATGCGTCCAAGTTGCTGTGCACGTATATATCAACGGCGTGGTGCTCTCCCTGTGAGCTCTGAGCTGGGGTGTTTATCACACTGCTGCTTCTCCTGGCCTCCTCCCCTCTCTGCTGGAAAAAATCATTTGTCTTGCTTGCTGGCCAGCAAGACAAATCGGGGAAAATCAGCCATCCTGGCTGGAAGTCAGCAGCCCTGATCAGGGAATCCAGTCATGTCCTCTGAGGTTGTTCCTGTGGGGCATCGTGTGCCTTTGATGTACTTTGACACCGGCTCCATGTGATTCTGAGGGATTTTGAGCTGATTTACAGTGGTTTACAGCGGGGAGAGGTGGCGATGCTGCGTATTGATGCTCAGTTTCATTTGCCTTCTGGCAGCAGGGAAGCAATACTTGGCTTTTCCACTCTGTTCCTATGTTCCCCAGTCTTTTCCCCAAAGGTACAACAAAGTTCAAATGCCTGTTATTGAAGCAGTGCACATGAATTTAGCATGAAACTGATAACATTCACGTTTCAAAGTTACAAATTTTACAGAAAATTGATAGTCTTTCATACATCCGTACATATTTTAGTGCACTCCTTTTGATGCGTGTACATACAGCGTGTTAATTTAAGCCATCATTAGAAATGAATACATCACTTTTTTATTTTCGTAGGCATAGATCGCATGTCTAGGCAGATAATAGTATCCAATAGTTTTGTACTCAGAGCTGGTTGCCTAGTGAGAGTAAACAGATGCCCAGGAATCAGCTTGTTTTAATGACTTTTAAAGACGGGATATCAAGTCCTTTGACAGTGGCTTCTAAAAATAAGGTTAAATTAGTGAAACATTAAGTTCTCCATTACCTGATATTCCAAGTATTCTTACAATGCTTGTTGTTTCCATAAGTTCAGTCCCACAGTTAAGTAAAATTTTCTCACTGGTAGTCATTCTTGTGAAGGTCTTTGGGTTTGCAGTCTCAAAACACACTTCTCAGTGCTAAAGGACCAACTGAAAGCAATTTTGAAACAATCTTCAATTTAGGAACTAATCATTAATCAGAGTGGCTACAGGAGTACAGCAGCAGAGTGGAATAAAATAATCCTGTCTTGCTGCCCAGATTGCAAAAACTCTTCAAGTACATGCGATACATTTCAGTTTCTGAATTCCTTTCTGCATTTATTTCTTTGTCTTGGTAAACTTCTGGCTAATAGTGTAGAGTGCATCATTAAAATATTAACATATACGTGTGTGTATATGTACAGACAGCGTGTCATGTCTACAAACCAAAATACGTCCTTATTCAACATGCTTCCCATGAAGTCCTTTTATTGCACCTCTTCTTACTCTGGTTGCTACTGTAACGATCCTCCAACAGCAAGAAAGTAGTTCTCCACCTTTATAACACTTTTTTTTTGTGCAAAGCAATGCCTCAGATGTGATGTTTTTGGTGTGGAACGAGGTGTTTGCTCTGCCAGGCTCAGGCTCAGGTTCCAGAGCCAGGACATGGGTGAGCGTGGGGGGACACGGCACAGGGGCCACCGCCTCAGCCCTTCAGAAGTGCTGTGAGTTCAAAGGCAAATGAGGGGCAATTCTGGACCTCTTTTTTGAGGGGACAGGGCTTCTGTGTTCCTCACACTTTTCTTTTGGAGGGATGAAAAGGGTGCCCTTTTCATAAAGTCTTTCTTTATCCACAAGGGCCCTCTGTGGGGCCAGCCAGCTTCCCAAGGAAGCGGATGGTGGCTTCCTTTGGGATCTGGTGGCAGCTGAGCTTCCAATGCACCTGCTGTGGGTAACAGCACGGCGTCCTGCCACTGCAGTCGCCGGCTGCTCTGCTGCGACGTCCTTCAGACGTCTTGTATGCCTTTCAGACATCACTTCTCGGGGGGAAAAAAAGGTTGGCCTGGAGCACTGTGTGAAGTTTTGTATTGTTCTAAAAGGAAGAAGGAAAATTAAAAACTTGTTATAGCCTTTTTTTTTACTACAGAGAAAGGTAGTAAATAGCTAACAGAAGACAGTTGTTTCTAGTGCCTGTTTTAGCTAAAATAACGGGGGTTAATTATTAAACCTTTTACTTGGTTGCTCACTTATGCTGCTGATGCTTTAATCCTGGGTCACAGAAAGTTTAAGAGTGCTTTACAGGGGAGACTCACTTCTTTTTGCCTCAACCTTTCCACGCTGACGGGATGTTACGGGTTTTGCTGCTTACTCTCTCTCTAGTTGCCATTGCTCATGCTGAGCTCTGCAAGCCAGGTAAGTTTTAGAGCTGATTCCCACCCTTCCCCAGGTAAATGTAGTTATGAGTTTATGCCTACAAAGCTGTCAGCTTCTCAGATTTTTATTTGAACTGGTTGTCTCCAGTTTGAAGATTGAAACGCTGAGCATTTGCTTCTTTTATGAGTTTGCAAATCAAGTACAGATGTTGATCTCACTTACTTTAAAGAGGTCATGGTAAACCTCACTGAGACTCTAGGTCTGTGGAATTTTTCATGCTAGTGACTGCTGTTCTCCTAACCAGGTGATCTGTTAAGAGACATTTAGAAGCTCTGATTTGTGAAATAATGAGAGAAGTAAATGATTTAAAATCCTATTTTGGCTGACTATCGATATACGTTTTCTTTTTTCTCTTTGTGTCAGATGCACAGAATGCTTTCAAAGTACGGCTTAGTATCAAAACAGCTTTGGGAGATAATGCAGTAAGTATCTTCACATATTCTTCCTAACTGAATATCTGCCAAAACAGAAGCAATATACTGGAAGACTTCTGAAGGCACCACAAGCAATTTGTTCTGAAGTGTTAATTGTAACAGCTTGCTCAAGTCATGATCCAGGCATCAATTTCTTGACATTTGACTAGCCCACTCCTTAAACTGGCTTCCTTTAAGAGAAATGTAAAGCTTTTTTTTTCCACAAAGATAATTTTCAGTCAAAGATTTTTTTTTTCCCCTAGAACAACAGTAGAGATGTTACACTTTATGCTTGAGAGGTGCTGCATAACTCTATGTATTTTGAGAAAAGCACTTCTGCTGAGCGTGCTAATTGTAAAATCAAGCATGTCTGGGAAGAGAAGCATGAGCAGATTTTCCGGTCTTTATGAAATGGAACTTTATGTCAGGCTTTCAGACAAGCATAATCTGTAGAGATCATTTGAGCTTAGCAATTTCCTACTAATGTAGGGCTCTGGATAGTGGCCTTTCTTCTCTGCCTGTGGTACACAGGCTGGTCTCATGAGGACTGAAATTCAAGGAGGGCTCAATTCAAGTCCTTGGGTTTAATGTAGAGCAATGAGGCTCTGTGATACATAAGAGATTGGGACGTTAGATGACCAAATGGTCCTTCCTCATCTAAAGCGCTATGAAGTATGGCAGAGCCCAGTACTCTGTTTGCAGTTTTGAATGCTTAGAGCAAATCTGCAGCGTGTTACAGGGCTCAGCATAAAATTAGATATGAAATGCCTTGGATGGTCATCTCCACTCGAAGTCTGGTGTCTGATTATGTTAGGAGCCCTGGGAACCAAAAAGCAGTAAGTTACGTGTTATAATAGATTGGAGGTATGAGAATCCCCCTATGACCATAGAAGCCGTTCTAAAATTATCCTGAAATATCAGGTAATTTAAACTAACATTAGCAGGGACCTAATTCCTGGTAATTTCATATATACCAGACAAACGGGGAAGAAATATTCAAGATAGATGCTAAAGTACTTGTGGAAATTCATATTTAAGTCAATTCTCTTGGGTGAGAGACTTTAATTAAACAGTAGTGCAAGCCTGGTTTGTTTAAAAATTTATTAAAAATAGTGTAATCCTATTGCTAAAAATATGTCAAAATCATTATTGAAGCTTCTCTTGATGATAACTGCTAATATTTTGATTTAATCTTGGTTCAAAATAGTAGCAAATAATGAAAATTGCAGTTCCCAGTGATGGTCTTTCTTAGTCTTTTTACTTCTCCAACTATAGTAAAATGAGGGGGTTTTGTTTGATCATTTGTGATTTTTTTTATTTTTAATCCAGAAAGGGCATGATGAGAATCATTAATCTTAAAGGCACTTTATAATACAAGAAAAAAGCAATAACTGAGGAGTCTGTTGGTTTTTGTAGATAGATAGCAGGTTTTTTTGTATAACAAAGTGTGTGAAAGCCCTAAGAACGGGATAATCTAAAGCAGTGTTTTAGAACAACAACATGATGAAAGTGGTATGATGCCATACAAAATTACCCACAAATAATGAACAACTTATTAAGTGCACAGGTGGTAGTTCCTTTTCATAGCCATTGCAATCTTCTCTGGAAATGACTGAAATTGAAAACTGAAAATATTATCAAACTGAAATGCATTTTGGTTGAAGAATTTGGGACACTTTACTTTTTTATTTTATTTATTTATTTTAGCAAAGAAAAACATAATACTGTCGTCGTATCACACAGCCAATACTGTCACAGTAGGACACAGCCAGCTTAGAATATCTTGATATGATGCTGTGCTGCTGAATTCTGTTTCATTCATTTCCAAGTTACTTCAAGCTAGATGATAACAGAAAACCCTGATACTGTGGGCATTTTGCTCTAGGACTGGCAGGATGACTCTAATGCACGTTCAGGGGCATAGGAAATAGGTTAGTGTAGTTTTCCACATGGTTTGGTGCATACCATCCACTTTATGTGAGGCTGATAAAGACAGGACACCATTTTTTGATTTGTTCACAAGGAAGGCTGTACTTTGAGGCAGGGAGTGCCATTTAGTGTATTTATATCGTTCTTATCACAATGGAGCTGGAAAGAGCAGCTAAGGTACAGTAAGTATTTAGCTGTTATCATTTCATTTGCAAATAATGGGTGTACTTGACAGAGACATTATTTGCTAGCCGGTGGGAGGAAACATGGTGTCTGTAGGCCTAAATGGAAGGAAGGTGATTTATGAGTCTCTCTGAAGATAGTGTTAACTTTATGAGTGGCTTCTGGAGTAGCTGCTAGTCACTAGTTGCTTCCTACTCATGGAGTTAGCAGAGTGGTAGAGAGTTAATTCAAAAGGGCCAGAGACAACTAGGGAGGGAGGAGAAGTGATGTGCACTGAGAAGTCGATGTGACTTTCTGTCACCACTCATTTTAACTATAAGAGTCAAACACCACCTTAGAGGCTGGAGCCAGGTGAAGTAGAAGGTGCACTTCCCTTCTGGCTCATGTATTCAAGCAGTTTCCGGGGTAGAGGATGAAGGGGAGAAAGACTGATGTGCACCTGCTGTTGGCACCAGATGGGACCCAGAAGTGTGTTTGTGTGCCGGTAGCCACACTGCAGTCTGAATGGCTGTCTAGTTAGAAGACAGAACCACTCAGGAGGGAAGGGACCTTGGAAGGTCCCTAGTCCCCGGCTGCTCAAAGCCAGGTGAAATCAGATCAGGTCACTCAGGGCAATCTTGTAGTATTATAATCGTGTTCTACTAGCTTAAATTTTGTCTTCCTTAGAGTGCTAGTACAGCATTTCACCCCATCAATAACCTACACTCATCATCTTTTACCTCCTCTTTCTCAGCTGGCACTTAAGACTGGCTTTCACAGTCAGCTGTGTCTAATTCTGTTCCTCCTTAACATATAAAGAATGGCAAGTGCAACTGAGCCAGGGTCTTTGTGTTGTTCCTTTTCAGAGCAAAGACAGTTCTGATACCATCATGTGAGATTTCATTGATAACAGTTACCTTATGTTCATAGTGTGTGGTTGCAAATGATATTTAATACATTTCCTCTACAGCAGCACAAAATGTGCATCAATAGCTGCTCTTCATAGGAACATAAGAACAGGAGCAACATGCTCAGTCAGCAGCTGCACTCCAGGCCTTTGCAATTGGAGGATGAAGATGAAACTGAAAAAGCCCCAGAGTGGAATGATTCAGGTTTCTTTGCATCTGTCCCTCCAACTGGAGGAACCTCATGGTTAGAAACTGGCTTCTGGCAATTTGTGCCTGCTTGTCCTGAGTTCATACATTTTACTAGCTTAAAGATATTCTTGCCGTACTTTTCCTCCTCATTATGTTGCCTCCCCCCTGAATATTCCTGCATGCAGTCATGTACAGAGGTTCTTCTTCATATGGAGCCCACAGCCATCTCCATCTCCTCTACCTCCCTTCTGATCACTGATTTCTTGGGGCTTCTTGCCCTTATGCCCAGAAAGTTGTCTGCAGCATCTTCTCCTTACTGATTTCTGCTGAGCTTTCTCTGCCCGTCTGCTCCCCCATTTCTTGCAGCTTTCTGTTTATTCTGTCTTTTTAAAAGTGCTTACTCTTTCAGCTGCGGCTGGAGTTCCTCACTAAATTATTTTCCCTGTTTTGAGATCCCCTTTTTGTTACTCTGACTTGAATCTCTAGGCTACTGCATTATTTATGAAAACTGAATAGTTGGTAGTGATGAATTGTGCATACATACATGTACTGCACTAAACATAAACATATCAAATACATGTACTTGGTAGTGCTGCATTTTATTTGTGTCCATGTAAGCATGAAAGGGAGTGTGCTTCATCATTATCCATTTTGAAGACGATTTGTTAGATATCTCTACAGCTGGTTTAATCCACTGGATAACAAATGATTTTTTTCTGTCCTTTTGGACCTGTTTACAAAGACTGCAGATGACATGTAGGGATTCAGCCAATAGCACCACACATAGAGAAAGGAAGATCTTCCCTTTTAGTGCTGCAAATTGTGCTCCATGGTTTAAATACAGATGTCTTTAAAATGACAATAAATAGTTTTATGGCTCTCATCTATATTAATTCCTATACTACATTATCTCTTTTAGTACTAGTCAGTCATTACTGTCACGTCTTCATCAGTTCAGTAGGATCAAAATACAGGCTTTTATAATTTCTTTTCAAAGAGTCTCTCTTTTTTTTTCCCCCCAGTTTAAGTTCCCAGACTGACATGTGTTATCACAAGTATGCTTACACCGCCCTTCATTCACAAGGGAAGAGTGATGAGTCAGAACCCGGATTCTCAGCAATGCATGTGGATTTTAATGCTACTAAAGTTGTCTGTTGCTCAGCTTTGTTGTCCCTGTCCTACTGCATCTCAGAGAGCCCATTTCACAACTCATGATTTGCCTATGGATGATAAATATGATCAAGATGACTTTCTGCCCTTTAAATGACTGCCTCCTTCCCTGCTTGGGTTCCCAGTCCATAAGATGTCAGAGCAAAATGAGGGCTGGTGCCTGGAAGTTGGATTCCTTCTTTCTGTGGAGAGGTTGCAGCTCCATGCATCCAAAATCTGAATTTAAAAACAAGAATTAAGATTTGGCATTTTCAATGTTGTTTACGGCTTTTTGATGTTCATTGCTGTTTTTTGATTGTGTTATAAAGGCCCATGAAAAAGTAGGTCCAATTTGTCAACAGGCTTAAGCATCCACACCGCTGAGTTTCTGGTTTGGATGATTACACTGCAGATTTTTTCAATGCTGAAAGTTAAAGATTAGGTTTGTGTTCTGATTGACTGAAGAAAGCTGCCTCTAACCTCCATTAATATCATTCCAAGAAACTATTAATCTTTGTAATCTACTGAAAGGGGAAATTCAGTCAGTATGCCTGAATCATGGCTCTTGTTATAAAAATGTAATAGGTGCAGTTCTTTACAGGTCATTAGAATTGCATATGTGAATGAAAGCCCAGGGGAACTTACTGAAACTATCTATCTCAGAAAACTGAAATTATGAAAGCATGATTTTTCATCAAGATAACAGAGAACAGTTTTTGGAGCCTGTATTTTATTCTTACTGAAGTAGTAAGGATGCTATTTTCTTTTTTTGTCTCACGTGTGATGTAGTAATTTGTACTATAGTTGAGTCTGTCTTTCTTGTTGCAAGGATGGTGTGCAGCAATAAAACCATCATCTCATTTTATATCCTGGTGTCCTGACATCCAACTCCCAGAGACTACCTTCAACATTAGCTTTTTTTTTATTTTGGGGCAGAGCCAAATGGTATTCGAGAGTGGATTTAAACCTTCTACTTTAACAGGGTTTATCCAGCAAAAGAGACAAGGCCATGGGTGCAGCTGTGTGGGGAGAGTTCTAGTAATATGCCTAGTCTTTGGTACAAGAAACTTTACATCTCCAGTTTGGTCAGCTTTTGGAAACATTCAATTAATTCAGGTTTTGGAAACATTCTTTGCACTTTATATTGTGCTTTATAACAGCCAGTAGAAAAAGTCCTTTGTGCACACAAAATAATGTGCAGGTATATTTTTTTCATAGCACAACCAGAAACTTTGTTCATTTTCTTGATCGATATAGCATTTTAAGTTCAGTGACTCTTTTTCCTCTCTGTAGTGCCAGCACTGGTGCTGAAACTGATTCTTTTCCATCTTCCTTTACAGTATGCCTGGGATGCTAATGAAGAGTACCTCTTCAAAGCAATGGTGGCTTTTGCAATGAGAAGATATTCCAGCAAGAGCACAACTCAGTAAGCATCTACTCTGCTTTGCCTTATACATATTAACAATGCTGCATGTAGTGGCCCATTCTCTGCTCTACCTAACTGTAGAAAATATTATATACAGCTTCTAAAAACAGACTGTTTCGGTATATTTCTTTGACACCCAGATAATGTTAAACATCACACTCAGTCTGTCTTAAGTGATGTTCAATCTTTGGACCAGTATCCCTGTTGATGTGAAATGACACAGCTGTGGATCTCAGTGGGATTGTGCCAATTCACTTGAGCAGAATCTGGCAGTAAGGCATGAAACCTTCTGGAGACCGTACTGGGAGGAGACGAAGGGACACATTGGCAAGGTCAAAAAATGCAGTACAGATCCTTGAAAAAGCATCTTTGGGGCATGTTTTCTTAGAGCACAGCTTCAGCAATATGGAAGATGGATAGCTATGCTAGTGCTGTGTTCTGCTGGGGGGATATCTATCCTGAATATTGCAGCGGTTGAGTTAGTTACCTAATATCAAGAAGTTTCAGATGTTGCCGTTCAGCCATAAATCAGCCTTTAATTGGTTTTGGGATTAAATCTCCCCTGAGGTATTGAATATTCTTCTCAGGCTTCTGATCCTTGCTACTTAAGAAATTAGATACAAGATTAGACAGACCATTTAGCAACTGTATTTTCAGTGTGTTCTTATCTTTCTTAAACAAGAAACCTTGTAAGTGTATTTTTAGAGGCCTATTATTTTTTAATTGTTTTTCAATGTTAAAGTAAAGATTTATGGTTCTGGTAGGCTAATAAGTAGAATGTTCTCAATTTACTTTCAAAAAAAAAACCTGCTTCAGGCTGTCATTGCATCAGATGAAGCATATTCCACATTTGCAAAGATATTCGTTAACTTTAGTCACATGATGATTATTGTGGCTGCCACACTTTCTCTTAAATAGAAGGTACTTTCCCCTCCCATGTAACAGAAGTGTTTAGTTCCTTTTTGTTTCATTTTTATTCCTCAGAATTTGCCTCCTTTGAGCAAGAGAGCCATTACACCAAGCTTAACAGAAACTGCCAAGTATGCTACTGCACATAATTAAAATGACTCTTAGAAAAAATGAGTTCAAGATGCAAGCTAATTAAAGGTGATTATGCAGGACTTTTTCTCAGGTTTTCAAATTAGCCGAGTTTTCATCCAGTATCTGATCCATAAAGATTTGCTTTTGTATACTTATTTTAGTCCCAGGTCCTTCTTTTAAATTATTCTCTTCCTTCAAAGTCACGGTGCTTTCACATGGCAAAACACCTGTGTCAGAAGCCAGTGATTTTTTTCCTCTTCAAGCGCCATAGCTCTCTGCAGACTCAACTAATACTAGAAAGCTTGGTGCAAGAATGGGAAAAAATCAAGCTGGTATGAAAGGATTTAAAGTTTTAATGGAAGTTATCTCTATCCACTCTGGGAAATCACAGAATTTATGCTCACTTAACTCAGTTTCCTATCAAGACAATTTTTCCTATGGAAAAATATGACAATGTCAGTGTTACTCCAGTTTGGAGGTGGGGTTGCACACATGAATAATTTCCTGCTACTATGTTTGTCAAAGGAGAAGTCAGTATAATATTTGGAAACAGCTAGGTGTGGGCATCTTTACCTCTTTTTAAGATGGTATAGGACTTCCTCGTGGGGTATAACGTGTTGAGGTGTACCTTGGAGGTGTAACTGATAATTATCCTAGGAATTCTAGATACCTTTGGGGTCATGTGTAGACAGCAATCAGCCAAAGTACAGCTCTGCAGCAGTGAGATCTGGTACGACTTGATAGGCAACAGGCTGAGGAGTTTCCTATCTGTAGATCTCTCCCAAATCTCAAGGGACCTCAGAGTCCCCCTTCTGTGATGGAGAGCTAGATGAACCCCCCAATACACCCGAAATAACCTGCCTGTTACATGGGAGCAGGAAAGCTATGAAAGCCTCCATCCTGTTAGAAGTCCTGGAAATAATGCATGCCTTTCCCCACCCTCATGGCTGGCAGCTGGAAGCAACTGGGTAGAGCCACTCAGTTGGGTGTGGTCCATCTCCATCTCCTCTGCAACAGGTATGGAGGTGTGGGAGCACTCAGCATCCCAGAGGGTACAGCAGCATGCCGTGCGCACCGGAGCGGCACTCTTGCATAGCTGGTAAGGATAGTGGCGGGGGCTCGCAGTGTGGTGAAGAGGGAGGCAGAAGCAAGAGCTTGTGGCAAATAAATTACATTACATTACAGGAGCTTTTACACATAAATGCCAACAGATTTTCTTTGGGAGCTGTAAAAGATCAGTGACCAATTATTCTGTTGTAAAAAAACATACAAATTGCTTGTGACTGCATTCTGGTAGCATCTACATTTACCCAAATTTTGCACCTGGTTAATTAAAGATTTTTGGCAAAATAAAGTCTTATGAAAAATTCACCAGTATTTTACGTAACCAAATATTGGTTCTGTCATAAATTCTGCACAGGGCCATAACCAGGATGTGACAAACCTCCCCTTTAACATCCCGTTAATTTCTGACACATCAACAGCTCTGCAGTAACTCACAGCCACAACTAACTCCCACATGAGACCAAATGCCATTAACTTCAGCAAGCTGGACCAGGCCCCAAATAATTTGACTGGTGGATCAGCATAACCATTGTTGCAGTCTGTCCCATCATTTTTGAGATTCAGCGTCACCTTTTGTTAGGCTTCTGAAGCTGGATAAAAGCCAGCCTGTGATGACAAACATTTGAATGTGCCGCTGGAAACAGCAGTTGATGCTGTTGTTGCACTTGTGTAACCACTGAGTGACTCAACACAGAATGGACAGGATTTCACATTACATCTCAAGTTCTCTAAAGTTAATTTCTAAACTAAAATTTAATAAATCATGGAGCTGTGTTTAATGTTTGAAAGGCTTGTTGAATTTTCAAGTTTGTGTGAAACAGAAGACAGACACAATCCATGAAATTACTCAGTAATTACTAATACAGATAAAAGAAATACTTCTTTTTCAGTGGAGAAATAAAAATCCTTTATTTCCTGCTCTATATATGGCCTTTCAATTCATCCTCAGTACATACATTTATGAACTACGTAAGCCAACCTTTGATTTCTCAGTGTTAAAAAATGATTGACCATGGTCTGTGTTAGTAAACCTGGTTTCTCTAATCTGTGACTCATTTGAAATAATATGCATCTCTTTTGCGCCTGAGATTAGTTAATCTTTAGGGCAGAAAGAATGTCATGACATTTACTTTCATTCAGGTAACAGAATCATGGTTCTCCCATGAGCTAATGGCCACTGTAGTCCTCCAGTTCCCTTTGAGTCTCTGGCAGCTCTTTCTTGTCCCTAAACAATCCTTTAAGTCTCCATGAGGAACAATGATGCTGTTTCAGGCCAAGGAACCGTCAAGGTTTCCTGCCCTCTACTCACTGGTGTTCACTTGCATATATTAAAAGAAATGCAAATTTTGACTTTTGCCATGATGTCCTAAGGCCAGGACCAGGATCTTGTCATTTTGACAATAACAGCCTTCTAATCCCCATAACAAAAGTCCCACTTTCTCAGGAAGAAAAAGGTGTCCACATATTTTTTTACAAATGCACTTAATTAGCATAGTGCACGAAGAAATCGGGTTTCTGAAATCTAAACAAGTGTAAAGGTACAGTTTTTTAATGCTTATGCATGCTGTGAATCAAACCGACGTACAAGTAGCACAGGACAAAAAGGTGTACCTGCTGCAAAGAAATTGCATTGGTTCTTGTTGAACCAGTCTGTTTTGGTGTTTACTCAATCCCCTTTGAACTCCTCGTGAGCAGTATTATTCTCTTTGGAGCCTGGAAGGATTTACAGCATTCAGATTCCACTGATGAAAAAGTGGCAGTGAAGCCAGATTTTGGACACTTACAATCGAGCAAGGATTTTAGACACAACAGAGAGCAGAAAGGAGGCAAAATTTATATATCCTAGTGTGAGCTTTGCTGCCCAACTCATTTAATACTGTTTGTTCTAGAGAAAGAGAAATTCTGCCCAAAATGATGACTGACTGCCCTATCTCAAGCTGAAAGCCCTTGCCACTGTAGGGAAGACCCCATGTTGAAGAGTCTCTCTGAGTCTTTGAACAAGAATGAGAAAGTCAGGGTGTTCTGCCAGTGTTTGTCCACCAAATTAATCTTTCTCTTTGGGGATCGAACTTTCTGCTCTCACCCCATTTTGAAAATATCTGTAGGGCAACATGAACCCAGATTTTCTACCTGGACCAGTTTTTGGTTGCACCACAGAAATTCCAGCTTTAAGAACTGCAGTAGCATGAAGATTTAGGTCCTATTGTTATAAATTCTCCTCATTGAAAAATTCCTCTGCAGATATAATTTTAGATGTTCTGTGAAGTCAGCAAGAATTTGTCAGCCACCAGCCAAAAGTAGACTCTTTTTCCCCCTCCTCGTGTAAATTTTGTGCTTTGCTTTTGTTTTGGGAGGAATAAATCTGCTTTCATCTTCTGACTGTTGCCAGCAAACTGATGTGAACATCTTTTCAAATTCCGAAGGACGGCTTTCCTCTTTTATCCATAAACTTTCTCTGTATTTGCAAAATTGACATTGTTTCAGAGAGGTACAAGTGGGTATTTCAGCTCTGCAAAGTCACTGCTTTCCATTTTATTGTGTATCTCTATGGACTATATAACTTCTCTGTAATTGAAAGATTGATTGCGCTACCCAAGCCACCCAAAACACCACCCAAAAAAGCTTTCAGCAGTAACTAAAATGTTCCTGCAAAATAAGGAACTCCTGTGATCAATCCAATGCCTGTCCTGCCTTAAAAGCAAACTCGTTCTTGTGGGGATGGAGTCTACACATTCATCGGCAATTTTGGCTCCCTTGTGTTCTGTCCTACCTCGTATTTCCTACTCCTCAGGCCACTGCAGAGGTCATTTAATTAAATTTGTAATTAGCCAGCAGATGGCACTGCAAAACAAGAGCCCTGTGGCAGGGGAGCTTGCTGGCAGCTGGGGATTTGTCCCCAGAAAGAGCAGAGGTTAGAAAGCAAATGTTGAAACTTGCTTTTTGATGACAGGCAGGCCAATTTTTAAAGCCAATTATACCAGTTAGTAATGAGCATTACAGACATCACTGTAAAGAGGAGCTGTGTTTTTCTTCGCTGGCTCACCTCAGGGTTTCCTTCTCCAGAAGAGCAGTTAGTATCTGAAGTCTCCCAAGTGGTGTCTGTCAAGACAGGGCAGCTGTGTTGTGCCTGTGGCCAAGTAGACTTCGTGCAAAAGTGATCCAAGTCCAGGCTGCTCTTTGGAAATAAAATGATCCTAATTCGTGGAACTGGACTTTCAGAATATCTGTTTGCTGCTTGGACATGGCCAACAAATCTGGATCCTGAGCCAAATTCTTTGGGTTATTTATTAATGGTATAGAACTATTTTTTTTTTCCATTTTTATCTCTCTAGCTATCTGTCATTGAATTCCTAAAGACTTTGGCTCTCCTTTGATGGTACATACTATGTTCCTTGCTATGCTGTAATAAATGCCACCTTATACAATTTTACACAAGTTTGGCTGGTTTGTTTCTTAGTTGTGTGAATAAACAAGGAACAGGTAGAAGAATATAAGGGCACCATCTATCCTCAGTCACTATTATGATACTAATGTGTTAGCCTTCACTGCTTTTGTTTAAATACTGACGATGATGTCATTCCATGAGGTTTTTCTAATGATAGTTCCACCATTTACTAGTATTAGTGGTAGAAAACAAATTTCTAAGAATCTGAAAAAAGATATTTAGAAGAGATTTTGCACAGTTTTTACATAGTATGCCATGAGAAACTGCGTGCCTGTGCCCTTCCACTATTAACTTCACATGAAGCTGAGCAATCTTCTTTTAAAAGAGAGAAGTTAAATATTTGTCACAGTATAAGCTAAAGGCTCTTCCCTCCAACAAATGTATCCTGTAGAAGGACTGCAGTCACTTAAAAATCATGTGGGGAATCTCCCATGCCTGATTCCTTTGGTATTAGCTATCAAAACCAAAACTCTTAGTTCACCAAGGTATTTGCCCCATTTTATGGCCTTTGTCACAGTCCTGATGATTAAGATGCAAATAAGTTTTTTTCCATTTGATTATGCTAAATGTATGTCCAAGATGATGCAAGTTTGTAATAGATTCAGAAGTTTGAACACTCAAGTTTGGTTTCAATAAGCTTAATTTTTTTTATCAGATTGGGAAATAGAATATGTTGTGAGTGATATTTCTTCCTTGAGCTTTAACTGTTAACTTTATTAAAAGTAAGAATTTTTCCCCCTTTAGATGAAAGCAATATTTTAATAAAATCTAAAATTATTTCAATAATTCCTTCTGTGCTTCTTTAATGATGATTTTTGTTATAACTATTTGCAGAATTTCCAATGTGCTGCTCTGCAATGTGACGGATCGGGTGTCATTTTGGTTTGTGGTCACAGATTCTTCCAAAAATGTGACAACTGTTCCTGAAAGTGAGGTAGAGGCAGCCATCAGGTACAGTCACTGCTTCTGCAACCTTTTTTTCCCTGCTGACTGAAGGTGCTTTTTCTCTCTGGGCCTTGTGTAAATGAGCACTCTGCCTCTTTAAGGATGAACTAATCCAAGTAGTTAAAACTTGGATTAAAGTTGGAACCAAGGGGTCAGTACTCTTTCATGCATGTGAGATTAGAAGGATTTTTTAACAGTCTCACAGAACGCAAAGCATGTGAGCCTTAGGATTATAACTTTAGGAGGAGTCGTTCTTAATTCTGGAGCCTCAGAAGAAATTTAGTCCCTTTTTAGAGCCCTACCTGTAATTTGCTGTCCGGTGTGTGGCACATACACTGCTCTCATCCAGCTGCTGCATTTCCCAGCGGGAGAGCCTTCTCCCTCAGATGACGGAATTGACACACTTTCTGGGTGGGATTCATATCATTTAACTTTTGTTGCATGCCATATGCACTTCTGCACCTGGACTAATGACCATAGGCTCCCTTTCAGTGCTTCTCAAGTACAGTTCACTGGACTTAATTTAGAAGTCAGTTTTCACGTGAGAAGAGCTCGTGTGAACTCTGCATGAGCAGAGCTGGCTGTGTCCCAGCTTGGCTTAAACAGCCTTAGACTCGCATTCTTTTCATACCAGCTCTTCTAGAATGCCAGTCAATATCGTAGCTGAGCGTTGCTTGTACAAAGTATTATGTGGTACAAATCAGTTTGCTTTCTACTAAATATCACGTACTGTAGCCAATAAAAGCAAGACTGTAGACTGAAGAGGGAAAAAGAAAAAATGGGTAATCTGACTTCAGTGGTCTACCAAACCTACATAAGGGGTTTATAGGGATGGCTCCCACAGGCAGCATAACTCACATACGTTTCTCAAGCACGGAGTGGAAAACAGACCACTTTGTTTTTAGGCATTCTGTACTTTGTCTTGAAAATGCATGTTATTGCTATGGAGGTATAATGCCTAATTCCTGATGAATGAGTATGCGTTCTTTTGGAAAAATTAACTTTTAAGCTTATGAGCAGATTAAACTATTTCCTGCAGAGACACCAAACAATAGCTTCATAGCATGAGTGGAGGAAGCAGATTATTTATTCACTGAAACTCTCTGTAAGAGTGCTGGAATGCAGGGGTTTTGCATTTCTGTTATTCTTTGATACATTCAGTAGCATAAGCTGATTTATTTAAGTCTCTTATGTGCCCTGTTTGCCACAGAAAATGGATGCTATTATAGTATGTTTGTTTCTTAACTGTTGTCTGTCATCCGATAAAGAATATGCTATTTATGAAAAGTTTTAATTCCTCCCTAACTTAGAAACAAGAAATAAAACAGTCTATGAAACTACAATACTTTTTATTCAATTGCTTCTGATTGCAGTCTTCCATACTAAACCATTATTCTAATTCTTCAGACTACAGTAGCACATAAGGACACTACCCATGGACCAGAATTTTATTGTATGAGATTCTGTACGAAGTAAGAATAAAGAAGAAGATAAACCTTCTCAGAGCTCTGCATGAGACCCAAGATTTTGCGTGAATATACACAAGCTATTTATGCATATACGATAGGAAATGTACCTGTAGTTGCCTGCATGTGTTTCAGCACACAATTCTGTAACTCCAGTCATTAGATGAGGGTGAACAATGCTTATTTCAGCTGTTCACAATGATTCTTTCATATCAATAAGGATGAAAATCTTCTCTAAATCAAAGACGGCTTACCCTATAATGAGGCTTATAACATGCCATGGCTTTCAGTCCTCTCCAGGAATGCTAGCTTTTCGTTAAGGCTAAGAATTTCCTCTTTAAGGGACAGTCAAACATTATGATTTCCAAGAAAAGAAATTTGCAAAACCTTACCTGTATTTCCCATATATGTGTTTGTAGGAAATACTTGCTCTGTGGTCAATAAATTGAATTCTGTACAAGAAAGGGCTGCTGTAAGTCATACAACTGCATTCAAAAAGAATCTCTCAAGACCAATCTATGTAATATGTTTTCTCAAAAATTTTTAACAGTGTGGAAAAGCTAATGAAAGATACTGCTAAATCCTCTTACGGCTGCTTAGATTCAGATCCACAAATACCTGCAAATGCTTAGAAGTAGTGAATGTGGATGAAGATATCTGTTAAAGGGTAGCAGTTGTACTACTCTTATGAAAAAGCATATTTCTCAGACTTAACAGTTTCTCATAATGGAAAGAATGTGCAAAGTACAAATCCCTTTAGGGAAGAAGGGCATGCTGGCAATAGGGGTGGATTCTTCTGGACCAAATTGTATCCTGTGCCTCATGGACCTAAGAAAATATACAGCAGCAAGAGCAGATGTACCAGCCCATAACATGCAGGATGGTTTAGTTTGAGGAACCAAGGGGCACTGATAAGTAAATCCTCTGAATATTGCAGGGTAGATCTGCTACTCCCATGATAATCTTGAATGCTGCATGAGCAAGATGACAGAGCCACCCTTACAGATTACAACCTGCTATGTCTTCAGCACATGGTCCAAACCAGAAATAAATAATAATGCCGTACTTCAGGTCTCATCTGTATTTCCCAGTTTTTCAGATAAATACGTATGAAAGCCTGGTGTTCAAAACCCTGTAAGTGCGTGGGTGTCTGTGGATTACTGACAAGGTCTATGTTAAAGTGAAGATCTGTGTAATCTTACCAACATCATGCTGGATCAACTCCAGCCCTGCCAGGCTTGCAGCACATACATGAAAATTCCTGTTTTTTCTTCTATCTTTTTAACTTATAAAATATACCTTTATAAAGAGTTCTGATGTTCTTTGTGTTTTTATGAAGGATGAACCGGAACAGAATCAACAGTGCCTTCCTACTGAGTGACAAAACACTGCAGTTCCTGAAGATAACCTCAACCTTATCACCTCCTGTTGAACCCTCCACACCTGTCTGGCTTATTGTATTTGGTGTTGTTCTTTGTCTCATTGTGGCTGGAATTGTTTTCCTCATTGTTGCAGGGATTCAGCAACGCAAGAAGTAAGCAGCTTAGCTTGTCTTCTGCTTTAACTGAATACTGGCAAGTGATCTGGGCTGTTTTTGCCCAGATCTGATTGCTTTTGCTCTGAAAAGATTAGCCTCAGTGAAATTATAGCTGTGCCCCCCATCCCTGGTAAAGATAACCCATGTGTCCTTTTCGGAGGAAAGGGGTTAGAATTTTTAACTGTGAAGTATAGATGCCTTAGTAATGCTGAGGTGTAATGAGGGAATAGGGAGTATAAGAACATGATCCTGGAGGCCACCTAACTAGAGAGGAAAACTTTACAAAGACATTTGCTGTCATTCTTCTCAAGATTTAGTGTGCCACATGTGAGCCACCTCCCACAGACTGCCCAAATAGCTACCAACAGGGAGAAGACTGGCAGTGACTGTGCCCCTTCCAGGGCAGTAGTGTCAAAAGCTGTCAGGGCTAAAAAAACAATTTGCTGCTGCAGTTTGAGAAGCCTCAGTAGAGGACACAATAATGATTAATGTATGGCTGAAGAGGGCCTGTTCAATGGAACGGTGCATGGTCTCACCTACCATTCATGACCTGATGAGTCCAAAATACCCAGCCCTTCACAGGTTCATGACCAGATCTCCCCATGAGCCTAGGTGTTTGCTGTTTGGCAGTAATGTAGGAAAGACTCCCTCTTTTTCTCTCAGTTTCTTCCCTGTGGTGGCACTGGTGAACAAGAGGAGGCTATTCATGCTTCCGTAGTGTGAGCACGTTGGAGCAAGGCAGAGATTAGGTGGAGTTTTGGTCCTGCCATCTCTGTTGGGTCAGAGTTGGGCATAAGAAATAGAAATTTCTCAGCTGAGCTGAGATTCTGCCATAGGAGTTCAGCTTCTGCCATGCTTTAAGCTGCCATGGAGGTTAGGTTAACAGAAAATTATGACTTCATCAACAGAGTCATACAGGAACAGCAGCAGAACTGAAAAAGGGTAAATTTCTGCTGACAAACTAGATAATGTTAAAATTATTGACTCTATGGTGGACTGCACCCCCAAATATATCAGAACAAGAGATACATCTATGAAAAGTGATGTGTTGCAGAGGCTTTTCCTTTCTGCCTCCTTATCACCTTGATGAACAACGTTAAAAGACCTCAGAAAAACAACACCTATTGTAACGGATAAGTGCTTCTCATAGAGAACCCTTAGCAGTGTAGTCAGAATCCCTTCAGTTATATTTTGCATTCAGAAGAGTTGAATGAATTTGCAAAACCCTATTCTGTTTTCAAAAGAACAAAATTCAACAAATCGTAGATGAGAGATGCTGTTGAGGAAAGAGCCTGGGCAAGTACTGAGGATCTGTGGATAGTTTAAGCCCTGTCACAAGCTTCCATGTGGTATGGGCTGAGTTATTTCATCCCCTGAACCTAGGCAACCTCTTCTGTAAAAGTGGAGAATAATGTTGCTACCTGAAGCCCATATGTGCCCTCTGTGTAGTATCATGGCTCTGTGTGTCTATATAGTGCCTAAGCTAAAGGGGGTTTTTGAACATTTCAAATACATGTGGTATAAATAATTATGCTAAAAAACTATGATTTTTCTAGCTGAAATAATAATTTGTGCTTCATATTAGGCTGAAAGATGGCATTTCCCCCCTTCTATTTTCAAAATAACTCAGCTGGGCTTGAGCAGTTCCCCTCAATATGGTATAAACTAAATGCTCTTATTGTCGTACTACCAGTAATACGGCTTGTTGCTGCCTCCCTACGGTCACTTGGTATCCTCTCTGTCTCATGCTCTTGTCCTTTTAGTTATGCTCCTTTTTACTTCTGTTCCTCTACTCTGCCTTTTACGTATAATCTCTCCTCAGAGCAGATTCATCCGTGATTGAACTCTAATCCTCCTTTCACATCAATAGCATCTGCAAGCGGGGGCGAGGGAGTGAGAGAGGGTGAACCAAGCATATATTTCTTCCATCTACTGTTGCAAAGCCTGTAGAGGTAAAAGGGATGGTCTGGGCTATTTGGCTTCTCAAAAGAAGAGCCAAACATCAGAGAAGAGAATTTCGGAAGTGCTCATCTCTTTTTCAGGCACCAAAGTATGTGACCAGGTTGTCAAAGACTTCAGCATGCCCAGTAATGAATCTTCTTGGAAACCTGTCCAGAGCTGACATAATGGCAGCTTTATTGCCTAGTAAGCTGTGGTGGAAATCTGGCCCCAAGGAGGGTGTTGACGGCTCATAAATCTGGCATTTTGTCTTTATAGGCCTTTAAAGTACCAGTTAAATACCTTGGTTCAGATAAGCCCCAAAGCACGTGCTTTAGCCTGTTTGTACTCAGGGTGGTAGGGAAGCACATGATCAGCCTATAATGGAGTTTAAGTAATGGGTTAGACCCGTGTCATTTCTTGAACTGAAAGATTTTCCTAATTAGGTCTTCACTGTGCTTCACTGCCAACATATAACATTCCAAGCCGCAGCTGCCTGAAGCCTGAAGAGCTCCAGGTGATTGTAGCCCTTGACTCTACAGTGAGCTGGATCAGACACAGTGACTCCCAGCCTTATGTTTGTTCTCCTGTCATTGCAGCAATAGGACACCTCCCTCTCTGATAATAGATATGGCACATACCCAGGGCAGGACCATACTCTACTGGCTGTGCTGAACTAGACTGAAGTCTACCCCTACCCCACAAAATCCCATCTGCAGCAGAGGCCATAAATGTTTGCTTTGGGAAGAGTGAAAGCAGAGTAAGCACACACAGTTGTTTCCCTCCATTACTCCGACAGTATCTAACCTCTAGCTGGGTGCCTTCCTGAGCTGGATTTGGTCTTCGTGTATTGGGTAACCCACAATGTTTTCTCTTCCCTTAACTTGTTGAGTCTCTCCTTGGACTCATAGAAATTTTTAGCTTCTCTGAATTCCTATGGCAGTGAGTTCCACACATCTCCTACTCCTCTCATTTCTTTTGAACCTGCTTCTTAGTATCTTCTTTTATGTTCTGCCCCCACAGTTTTTGTATTAAAGAGCACTCCTTTTACCAGTGTAAGAGCAGATTCAGCAGCCAGAGGTCAGAGGGTTCCACTACTACCCACCATGTTTATTTTTTAGCAAGTCTATAATGCCAAGGATCTCCCAAAGGCAAATAAAATTTTATTATTGTTAATATCGCTGTTATTAGCAGTTGCACTAAGTCAGGTTGTTATGATTGTCCTGAGTCAGATTGTTACAGTACATGTTGCGGGATAGGAAGAAGCAGTGGAGCTGACCTTTGAGTTTCTTATCCTCTGAAATCGCTGATGCTGCAGGCTATAAAGTACAGCAGGTTTTTCGACTATGAACAAGTAGATCTCAAGGTCAGAATAAATCTGGAGTTAAAGGAACACCATGACATGTTGACTGATATTTCTGTATTACATCTTCTTGTGGTTGTATTTTTAGATAATTTTATTCAGCAACTATTTTAATATGCTTTTGGTGAGAACTGGAGCCTGGAAAACTGAAAACCATGCAATTGTTTGATCTAGAAAACAAAAGCATAAAATACTGGGTAGGAAGGTGGCTGTTAATGAAGAAAAAAAATACAGGTTTGCAACATTAGGAGTACCTAACTTCTGGAGAAGGTCATCAAGGAGTGTGAGGGCACTGAAGTCTCCATATTTGGATGCTATAATCTAAAGCTGATCTGTTTCTAAAAAGTATGTTATAATTGTCCACATCATGGGGTGAAATCTATGACATACATAACAGGGTCAAACTAGATGTTTAGTGCAGTTCTTCCTGATGTAAAGCAAAATCATATTTAGAGATTTTTTCCATTTTTGTTTTGCACCAGCTTTTCCTTCTGCACCTTTCAGTCATTTTACAGAATAAGAAGGTGAAGTAATATTTATAACATACTTACAACATCTTTACTCTAGGTTTTCTGATTCCCAATCCTGACCTCAGACCATTAAACCAGGGCTTCCAATCTGTGGGCCTCCCACCTTCTGTGGTATATTTACAACAGCAAAGAGGTGCACCAGATTATGCTTTTCAGAACATAACCTACAATAAACTTCTGACTAAATGTGCAGTTTTCTGTTTGTGGAATCATGGTGGAGTGCTGCAGGTCGACAGAATAAGATGATTTTATCTTTCTTGTTTTTAGAAAGAATAAAGAATCAACAGAGAGAGAAAATTTAGAAGAGAAAGGCGAAGTGACAGTAACAATAGAAAATGGGATTCCTTGCGAAGCGCTGGATTTAAAAGCAGGCCACATTAATGGAGTCTTTGCAGCAGATGATGAACGGTTCACGTCCTTATGAAATGCTGCCATTGCTCTCTGGTGGTTTTTTGAAAGACTCCTGTGCCTACCTTATCTCGTCACTGCTCCTGAATATCAAACCTGAAGACAAGAAAAATGTCCTTTCACTTAATTTCCCTTGAGAAGAACCTTTTGCTGATAAGACATATACTCGAACCTCCATTGCAAAGCTTTCGTTCATGAGCAAAGCAAATGAGAAGACCTCAAATGATATCCATTAAAGATTTCTGGAAGATGTGTGGCAGAACAGGGTTAAAGCCTGCCTTGTGTCAGGCATTTAATTTTTAATGATTATTTAAATATGTCTGTTGCTTGTTTTTCCCTGATATAAATGTGAAACTGCATTATTCCTGAATGTCACTGGGGAGATCATCTATCACTGTCAATTCTTGCTGGGCTTTCTTTCAAGCCATATGCAAAAGTTCCTCTGTAAAATGGCTTCTGTTTGCTGATATGCAGTATGCCTTTGGATGGAATAGTGATCAGTGCATGAAAGTTTTTATTTATGGAGAAAAAAAGCAAGCTTTCACAGCTTCTGTAAGAGCAGGTTAAAAAGCGGCTGGGTCACCTATAGCTTTAGAGCTAGCAAGGATCTGGTACTAAAGTGTTTTTCACTTAACAGTCAAAGTCACAGGTTATATGACCTGGAAATTAAAAGTTGCAAAAGTTTGAAATTTGTTGAAATTGAAAGTTGTAGCAAAGGGCAGATTTTCCAAAGGTGCAGTCTGTGGTTAGTGGCCCAGCACTCATTAAATCTATGAGGGCATTTTGCAGGTCTTTGAAAAAAATCTTCCCTACATTTTTTTGATAATAAAACTAGAGTAGATTTCCAAGACATAGCCAACCCAGGGTCAGATAAACCTTCATGTGACAGCTGGATAGCTTCTGAAAAGATTCAGTGCTTGAAACACCAGCTGCTGGGCTTGGTGCCCCTGACCCAGATGAGAACGTGTAGCTGGCGGTAAGTTGGCAAAGACCATTCAGACCTGTATTTCCTATTTGTGTGGCTGGGAGCTGAGGGCATCAAATGGTGCCAGACCCTAAACTGCATTGTTGGATTACTTTGAAGTCAGTCATACATACCGATTGTGCTATCTGTGCCATAATCTCCTTCCCATTTGAATCAGTGATCAAATTCTGACTGATTTCAAAAGAACTGGGCCCCGGTAAAGGGGAGTTGTATGTGTGGTTAACTGTACTTGGAGAATGGAAGTGTGTTGAAGCAAAAGATGATATCTGCTGTCACCAAACAGCTGCCCACATCACTGGACGCAGGATTTGACCATTAGCCATGCTGTTTCTAGCATCATGTTTGGAGGCAATATTAGAAAACCCATTTACTTGTTAGGGTTATTCCATCAGACACTTCAACAACAGGAACAGGGTAAAGCAGGGTAAAAGCTGCTTGTAAAGGGCCGCCCAGTGTCCTGAAAGGTACAAAGGTTTCTTGTCTCCCACGGTACAAATCCTTCAGCATTCTGGCTGTACAAGCACCTTTGGCTGTCCATTTGACTTGGCGCTGGCTGTTGGGAACAGGGTGAGCAGAAGGGATGGGGAGGAGAAGGGAAAGCAGCAGGGCGAAGGGAGGACGCTGAGTGGGGGAAGCCTGAGGCTAGGGGAGGTGGGGAGAGGAGGGCTAAATGCAAAATAAAACTATGGAACCCACTGCTCATTTGCCTTATGTGGTCTCGTCTGTTGTGGTTGTCTTTGATGCCCTGATGTTGGGCCCCTCTGGACAAGGACTGCATCTTCTCTGTGTCCCAGAGTGTGTGCTGCTCCATTCTGGAAAAGGATTATTAAAGTCACTTAATTAGTGATGTTATCTCAGTGCTTCAAAATTACCATCCGCAACATGGAGATGTATTTCTCACAGGAGAAAGAGAAAGGAGTGTCAAAGATTAAGCTTCACAGTGTTTAAGATCATTTGGAGGGAAGATATGGAGTACAGTGTTATTACTGCTTCCTCAGTCCTTGCTCCATGGTCTTTCACTGTGGCAGAGTTTTATTGAGGTAATTCAGATCCTATCATTTCTAAACTTTCACACTTTTCACATTCTTTGTATGACAGATAGCTACGCTGCAGTGTGACCACAATGGATTGCTGTAACAGCAGCACCTCTGCAGGAGCCCATGAAAGATTTCGATGAGAATACCTTGGCAGTGCAAGAGCAACCTCGAGCTATCAGTTAAGAATTACCGTTATCCTGTGTTGTGCTATATGATACCAAAATAAAATTCACTTGATATGAGAAAGGGCCAAGCATATCTGAGCATACTTCTCGAGGCCTGAGTGAAGATTCAATTCAGCCCACGGCACTGGCCAGCAATCTGAAAATATATTGAAAGCCTCTGAACAAAACATTGTGTGATGTGGGCTGACTCTTGTGGCAAATATTTGACCACTGACTTCCTCTCAGCTCAACTTTCAGCCCCATAATTACTTTACAGCAGTTTGACCTAATTTTCTGCTAATGATGATATGGGATTCACCCAGAGCATACATCTGGCTTGCCTCTCCGCTGACAGAAAATGGCCTGAGAGAAGCAAATGGTACATGAAGAGGTAGGCGTCACACTTAGCAACGCTTTGAAGTCAGTGTTGGTATTAGCTCTTTCACTGAAACAGGTACCACAAACTAGGTTAATCAAGGGCACTGTGCTACAGAAGGAATAAATCTGTTTTCTAGTCTCTTCGTGCAGCAGGATCATATTAGAAAACAAAGAGCACTTTGATTTCGTAAAGCCTGTCCTCCAGAGCCTGCAAATGGTACGATGACAGTTTATATCCCTTGAGGATGTGGCCCAGATGTTTTATGTAACTTTCACTGTCTTTTTTCTCTAAACCCCTTGCCATGGAAAGACCTGGTAATAAACAGGAAAGTGAGTGGTGAACAATATAGACTATACTGTAAACTACTTCCGAGAACAGTGAGTCGGTTCTGCTTTCAGTTACATTTGTGCCATGCCAATGAATTTCGACAAAGGAACATGGTGTGCCCGAGACTGAACTGTTTCATTTTCAAGAGCTGCATTTGAGAAAAGAGAGGAGAAAAGAAAATTCAATTAAATGAAGCAATAAAACCAGAGAAGTTCTGTTAGAAGAAAATCTGCAACGTCTATCACTAGCTCCACATCCCCAGCGAGTCGACATTTCAGGAAGGACGTTACAGTTCCGTTCAGCTTACTTGAGAGAGAGTATTGACGTCTAGGCTAGAATGAGCACAAATCATGCATAAGTAAGTTGTTTACGCTGTCAGTCATTAGCTGCACATTTGGGAACTCTGCAGTGCCCTCCTTAAATTACAAACTACATTCGCCGTGACACAACTGTTTTCTGTGCACAACCTTCAGCATTGTATCGCCCACAGGCTGGTTTTGTAAATGAAATTAGTAGTCCTTGTTTATCAATATTTATTTAGGGAAGATTGCAAACTGTGGGCAGATCCTGAAGTCGTTACTCGAACCATTCTGCCACTTGCTTTAAGGAAAGCTAACCACTCTGTCCTGCAAGCTGATGCTTACTCTGTGTTGGAGAAAACTGGACTGAAGCTTGTTCTATCACGTCAGCATTTGCTTCTTCTCTTCCAGGACAGTGTACAATGTCTTGAGAGAGTCCGTCTGTGGTACTCACCCCTAAACACCTCCCTATTAGCCCACTTTGAAGTCTGATACTCACAACTGGACCCAGTATTCCTCCAGGGCTCTGCCGGTGCTGAAGAGCCCAAGGGGATGGCCTCATGGGCCTCTTGCAGACTGTAGCTCCTATTTGTCTGCCCAGGTATGACATTTGCTTCTGTCATGCTGACCTTCATGGAGAACCCTTTCTGGCTATGCCTTTGTAAAGGGACGCCTTTGTTCTGCATTTTGAGGGAAGACATAACTGAAGCCGGTTTACTGTTTCTGCTGTTGTTCACAAAAGAGAAGGGTGAAGTGAGCACAAGGACCTTCGGGGCAGGATTCAGGTCTTGTTCCTTCATCACAGTGAGAATGAAATCATTCCCAAATTAATACAAATCATGGCATTAGCACAAGAGCTTCTGGTTTGATAATTTGGTTCCAAGAACTGGGCATCAGTTTTGGCCAAGCAAGGAGCATTACCACATCTTGACTGAAAGAGTTTTTCGAGTGTAATCTCCCACATGTTGGAAAACAAAAGAAATCACTGTAAAGCTTAGGGCAGAAGTGCAACAAAGACTTAAAATAGCTCCCAGTGAAAAGTGGATGTCTACGTTTCTAGACACTCTTAAAAACATGGCTCAGATGCCCTCAGAAATTTGTTCAGTTTATCAGTGCAGTAACCTGTGACTCATGAAATGAACTGTTTTAAATGAGCCAAGTTTTTGTAGAAAATGCATTGACCAACTGTCCACAATCCATTAGCAATGAGCAATCTGTGCTTGGTTTTCTGTGAGCAGTTCCTTTTGGCCTCTCATGGTTTTTGTTTCCTTCTAATGTGGCGTGCAAGAAGGGATGTGTGCAACAGAGTGACACTGCAGCTTCCTACGCTGCTGGACAATTGCTAATGAAAAATTTGCACTGAGATGCCTAATTTGATGGGCTGAACTTGCTAGTTTTCAAATCACATAAAGGTAAAGTACGTTGACAGTGATGAGTATGACACAAATGTGTCAGTATATTCAGTTTTGTGAATACATTAAGCACAGTGGATGCACTTAGCATGATGCATTTGTGTTTTAACTGGGTATTCTCTGTGTGGATTGATGTTTGCATCAGTCCAGAGGAATTCCACCTTTATAGGATGGATTTAATTTTGTTCTCAGTAACGTCAGCACATTCAGTAGGAAGTGAATTTGACTTAAGATCAAAAAGAAAAGTTTGATTTTGCTAGTCTGACCTTCCTACTGTGTTTCCCCTTCCTTTCGGGGTGGCAATCTGAAGCTATCAAAGAATCTTATTAGCTACAGCAATGGCTAAATAGAAAGCATTTAATTTTGGAGAAATTGTGAGAGTATTCTGGCATTCTCTATCAGCTTCTGCCTCTCTCCTATCATTTAGATTCTAATTGCTACGAATTACAGTGTGTAGTTTTTATCAGTTGCAGGCCAACAAGAATTTTAGACTTTGGACTAATGTTCTCTATGATATTGTATCTAAACAACATTGTAGATTCTGATGTGCAGACACATGGTCACTGTAAAACGAACTGGGACCACTCACTCCTGCCCTGGTAAAACTGAAATGAAAAACGCAGGTTGCCTAGATGAAAAGCTGTGTTTCACAAGTTCAATACCTTTCCCTTTGCAGGTAGGGCAAGGTGTTTTTTTGTACTGG